TATTTGTGGGGCAAGGGCATCTCAGCTTCCTACCCAAGGCCTCCATCTTCTCTTCCACTGAGAAAGGTTCAAGATAATGGAACCATTTTCCAGAAAATATTTGTCGGTTATTCTGCTTGCCCTTATTCCAAGAGGGATAAGAATGGCTATCGAAGCTAACTTACCAGACACATATCCTATCTATCACTTCCGTAAAACTATTTTGTCATACAAATCTTCACACACAAAAAAAATCCTATCCACAGGACCAAATAAGCGCACACATAAAAATGCTCAGAGCAAAGACCTGTGTCACCCAGGTTTCTTGGTATCAGCATGAGATGAGGCAATTGTGTTTTTCTACGAAAGATGGTAGCATTTCCTAAATCTTCATCTATTTTCTTGAAAGTTACTTACTTTATGCCTCTTGATAATTTACTTTTATTCTACTTAAAAACATGGTTTGGAAATAGCTTAAACTTTCATAAAAGAAAGTATCCTTTTTATGACTGTGGAATGTTGTGGATGTGGGCATCTATAGGGAAATGATGAGTTATCCTAGTTATTAAATACTATTGATTGGACATTAGAGGGCATCCATGGCCACTTTCCATAGTTCTGTGATTCAATAACATGAGAAAGTATCACCAACGGAGTGAATTTCAAAACATTGATAGCTATTACTCTGTAAAATATTTTACTGCCTATGTTTTTTCCTTAATTAAAAAAATATATATATATACCCACAGAACTGACACCAGCTCATTCTTCTCTTCTGAGAGAAAGGATTATGACATTGTCATCCCAGTGGGTTTCCTGAGAGATTTCACCATACACTTGATATCTATTTATTATCAAGATCTTACCAAGTCAAGGGCGATAGGATTCTTATGACCAGTGAGAAATAAAGAGTCACAACTAAGTGCCCAATTTGGAAAATCATAGGAAGATGGTGAGATCTTATCTATTAGAATGAAATGTTGATTAAAAGTATACTTTCTTTAATTTAACAGATGTTAAAATGCCAATTCCAAGTAATTTAATTGAGATAATATGTATTTCAAGCACCAACTAAGTGAAATATTTTCTAAGATTTCAAAATTACTTTAAGCAATGCGTCCTTTTTTAACCGTATAACATAAAATAGAACCTGACTTCTGGAGTCTTAGAAAATGAGCATTCCTTAGAATTATATAAAATATGCAACCTTATTCTACATACTGCAGAAGCCTAAGCTATCTTAGCATTAGGAGTTTTTTCATATTCTGGAGATAGACATAATATCATCTAAGGATATTACTGTATTTTAAAAGGAGCAAAACAAGAAAAAGATATAATTACTTAACATTATTAATGGTAAAAATAAACAAGCCTGAGGATGTAATAGAAATATTGCCAAAACTCCGTCTCATTTCTAAAACAGCTTCATATGTTTGATACTATGGATCGCTTGATTTAAAAATAAAGCTGTTTGGGGCCAAATAACATGCTGTCTACAGCGTGAATCAGACGCCTCTTTGCTGGTTCAATCCATCCTGCATTCAGTTGCTGTAGGCCTCCCTACATCGTTTCCTTTTTTTTAAATTTATTTATTTATAATAGTCACACAGAGAGAAAGAGAGAGAGAGAGAGAGAGGCAGAAACAGGCAGAGGGAGAAGCAGGCTCCATGCACCGGGAGCCCGACGTGGGACTCGATCCCGGGTCTCCAGGATCACACCCTGGGCCAAAGGCAGGCGCCAAACCGCTGCGCCACCCAGGGATCCCCCTACATTGTTTCCAATGTGAAGAAGTCTCTTTGAGTGCAGGAACTTGTCCCTAACAAAATACAAAATGTGACCCCTGATGCTGTATTGCTAAACAATAAAAAAAAAAATTGGACAGATAAGATATCTTCCCTTGTTAGATGTAGGCAAAGTTTTGTTAGTTTTCAGTTTGTGATTCTTTCAACTGTGGGTCAGAGCTCAGGGTACTGAAAATCCATGAAGGAAAGGATTTTGCAGGTTTACATGGGGAATTGAAAGTTTTCTTCAGAAGTAATTAAAAAATACACAAGCATTTTCTCTTGGGGGGGGGGGCACAGCTGCACTGCCAATTTGCTAAGTGGCTTCAGATCCATGCAGGGGGCCTGTCACTGGATGGCTACTCAGGGTCCTAAGAAGGGAGATGAGGCCTCTGTTCAAGGTCTAGCTTTGGTGTCTGTGGGGCACTGGGAGGCCTCTCTGTGGACTATGTGGATTTGTGTGTGGGTCTCTATGCTCGGACCTGTGATCTCTGAGGTGTCTGTGTGTGAAGTCTGTGTGGATCTGTCACAGGTCCCTGTGAGGTCTCTTGGTATTGGCCATTGTGAGAATCTCTGCATAAGATATGTGTGGGAGGTCTTTGTGGATGGTCCCTGGATATGGACTCTGTGAAGCCTCTTGATGTTGGCCCCTGTCAGAGGTCTCCGCATAGGGTCTGTGTGGGCTTTGTCTTTAGAAGAGGTCTTATGTGGGTATCTGTGGGAGTTCTCTGTCAGAGGTCTCTGTGTGGGGTCTTGGTGTGGGTGTCTGGGAGAGGTCTCTATAAGATGTGTGTGGGAGGTCTTTATGAGTGGTTCCTGGACATGGTCCTCAGTCAGAGGTCTCTGAGAGTCTGAGAGCCTCTGAGGTCTTGGTGTGGGCCTCTGTGGGAGATCTCTGTGTGAGTCTATTAGAGGTCTCTGTGGGGGTCTCTGGCAGAGGTCTCTGTGGGGAGATGCAGCAGCAGAGCAGCTTGTGGCCAGGCCACCTGTCCCCCAGGTCCCTCCCTCCCATGGGCTGGGTCCTGACGGCGGGGGGACCCTCCTGGATGGCACCCTCACTCCGGATGGGTCACTTCCCGCCAGGTGCAGGGCAAACCCCACCCGATGGCTTCTTCCCTCTCCCCGGGCTCCAGGAAACCATAACAGGGAACCAGGCAACACTTGCTCCATGACCCAGGCCAGTCCCCTGGGAGCCATCTGTGGGCCGCACATTTAAGCACAGGTCACGGACCCCCAGTCTGCCCAAGGTCCCCAGTCCTGAGCAAGCTTATCACCTTCAGCTGAAGGGACCCTTCCCCCCTGCAGGCCTCAGTGCCTCTGGGTGCCAGGCCCTCGGTGTGGGAGGTGAGGTGGCTTCTCTCCACCTGGGCCCTGGCAGTGGGAGGGGGTGGGGACCCTGGGGTGACAACCCCTGGGCCTGCGGGTGGCAGGGGGGGCTCCCGGGGGCCCCCGGGGCCTTGGTCACCACCCCACGTGTGGCCACACGGTGCGGCCTGTCCCCACCTCCCTGGCACCTGCCCCTGCTCCACTTCCCAGGAGGGGCGCCCCAGGGAGCAGGGGACTGGTCGGGGTGGCCTCTGCGCTCCCCACCCACTCAAACCTCAGAGCCGGGGGTGTCCTCGCCCTGCACTGCCCCAGGGGACAAGGGAGTGATGCCACTGAGCTGCGAGGGCCCCTGGCGTCAGCGGGGACAGGAGAGCCCCCAGCAGAGCCACCCTTTACCCCTGCCAGGCCCGGGGGCCATGGTTCCCCCTGCCTCTGCGCTCAGGGCCAGCCTCACCTGCAGACCCTGTGCCCGCCTCTGACACAGGGCACTGTCTGCCACCCGCCTGGAACCTGGGGGGCAGGGGCCTTCTGTCTCTGCAAACCCTCCCTATGGCCCAGGAGTTCGGGGTAGGGACACTGCAGGACAGGATGGGCCCAGCTGGATCCTGGGGTGGGCCCTTTCAGATCTTGTTCCTCTTTTGTGTGTGGTCATAAGGACGGTGCTATGGAAACGGAAGGGGCATGAGGGGGCATGGGGGGCAGGCCGTGGGTTCACCCCCTCCAGGGCCCAATCCCTTCTGGAAGCCAAAGCAGGCACTGGGGAGGGCAGACTCCATCCCTCTCTTTTCCCCAGCAGGGCCCACACAGAGGGCAGCACCTCTCATGAGAAAAAAAAACATATATTTTGGGAAGCAATACAAATTGTGGTTCGAAGAAGCCATTAGCACATGGAGGATGTGCTAACATGAGAAACAAAAGGCTTACTTTGCATATACTCAACTTTTTCTTGAAGTAAAGCTTTCCTACCATGACAGGTGTGAGGAGCACACACTGCCTGATGGAATGAGACACGTTTTTGAAGACTATATGTTGGATAATGGTTAACGTGACCTGAGGCACCTTCCAGCATCAGCCTGTGCTGGCTGGGTCTGCCTGGTGCCCCCAGCTCCCTGGGTGGGCCTTCCCATCTGCTGTCCCTGCCTGGGATCCACTCGGCCCTGTTGGGACAGCTGTGGCCCTTGGGGATGGCTTGCTGCTTGGAGGCCGTCTCTCTCATCACTCTCCTCTGTTCTGGGGAGGAAAGAACCTTGTGGTGGCAAGAGTGCCCACGTCCTGGGGCCTGGAATTCTTTGTGCATATTTATGTCTGAGGCACGCATTCCTTGGTAAAGTCCCAGTTTCTCCACCAGGACCTGTCCCACAGCTGTCACAATCGTCTGAGCTTCAGTAGCTCTGCTGTCCATAACTGATCTGCTTCTGACTGGTACCTCCCTCTGGGCAGTTGCTGACACAGGCTTGCCCTTTTGAAGGGGATCTTCCAGTCCTTTGCCTTTTTTATTGAGATTAAGACACTGCAGAAAGTTCCTTACCCTTTTTCTAAAGTGGCTTTCTGGAATAACCTGTCCCCTTTCTGGCATGAGCTGGAGGTATTTGCTTCCAAGGCTATCTCCTGTTCCTCTGACATGGGGAGGGTGGCCTGTCCCACCAGCTTGGAAAACGCTGCTTCCCAATGGCTCTGCACACTCTTCATGCTCTTCTGATTTGGGACTCTGCAGGTCTTCTGTCTCAGCAGTGGAGATAGTCATCTCACTCTGGCTCTTACATGGGTCCTCAGCTTTTGGTATGCTGCGCTCCTGCTGCACCTCACTGCTCAATTCACTTGATACAAGGTCATGTGGCACTGGGGAAGCTGGTGTGTCTCCACTGGCATGTTCCCTCTGGGAACTGGAGGATGATTTGTGTGTGGACAAGGTGTCTACGGTAAGGAGGACATCAGTGGGAGAATCTTGCAGGGCACCTTAGTATCATGGTCTTGGACAAGCTCGCAAGTGCCAGAGTCTTGAAGGGAGATGTCACTGGAAGAATCTTGAAGAGGCACACCAGTGATAGGCCCTTGAGGCTGGTTCTCTGACTCTACCTTTTCTTGGAGCTCAAACTTACTGGCAACCTTTGCTTTAAGGCATGGCTCCTTTGAATCTTGGGCAGCCAACTCTGTAGGTGGTAAGGGGCTTTTACTAGGGCATGGAGATCCTGATCTCCTCAGATCCACATAAATGGTTTGGTTGTTGGCCAGCATACTGGGTTTTAAGATGACTTTCCAAGCAGGGGCCTTCTTGGGCTCTGTCTCCTCCCTGGCTTCTTCAGCCCTTGTAAATTGGGACCTGAGCTTCATCTTCAGTATTGCTACCTTGTTTTGTGAGGCCTGATCCCCACTTTTGTCCTTTAGCTCATTCCTGGCCATTGCTGAACTTAGACCTGACTCCAGGTTGTCTTTCTTGGCCCCCATAACAATCTCACTCTCCATGGTTCTGTTTGTGCGGCTGAGTGTGGAGGTCTGAGAAGGTGATCTGTCTTCCTGTCCAGGTAAAGGGGCCTCTGAGGGCTCCTGGACATCACCAGGTGAGGCCTGCTGAATTTCCTCACTTGCAGATGAGGGGACAGGCTGGGGACTCTCTGAGGTGGGAATGGACTCTTCTGTTATCTCCTCTCCCAGATGGGGCTGAGGTGGTTTTCCCAAGAACTTGTAGAACATGGCTCTTGAGTGGGTCCCAGATACACAGGTGGCTGAGCAAGGAGAGGGGTGCAGGGGAAGGGGCAAGGGTTGAGCTTCACATAGCTTGAGATCTATGGGCTCAAAGGCTTGGGAAGGTAGGTCCCACTTTTGCCTCACCCGAAACCTTATGATGTGTGTTTCCAACATCTGTCGAGTGTGAGGACTAAGGAAAGGCAGCTCATGGGAGGTATTTATGCAGGGTTTCCGATCATTCAAGGATTCCAGATTTCTACCTTCACTGCCAAGGTGGGACTTGGGCAAACTGTGAGTGGCCGTAAACCAGGATCGACGCACTCTCACAGGGATCAAACCTTCATTGATCTGTCCCAATTTCGTGCACAAATGAACCTCTAAGGTTTTTTCTAGATGTTTCTTACCTGGGCCCCTGGCTAAGTGTTTTCCTTGGTCACTCTTCAAGGTCCTCATCAAATGTCTTTCTAACTCCTCCTCAGAGTCAGTTCCTAGAACCTTTACTGGGAAGCTGGCTGAAACTCTGGAGAGATCTGTTGGGCTTCTCTTCAGACATTGCTGTAGACCCTTACCCAAGTTATTCTGTAGTTGGGATCTTGTTTGACTCTTCCTATAGAAACTTACAGGGTCCCTGGACTTGGTCCTCTGTGTAGTCTGGCTGCTTTTGCCTTTAAACACAAAGGGCCTTGAGAATCCCTGGTTATCCTGTGCCTGACTTGTCCCTGGGAATTCATTGGGAGGCCACATCAGTTCCAGAGACACTTGGACCCTGTGGGGCAGGCTGTCTCTGTGTTTATTCTTGCTGAGCCTCCTTTGATGGTGGTGTTTTTGTATATTAAAGATTATAAAGTCCCCATGAATGATGGAAACTGACCCGTAGGACTGGGAGGCCTGGTTGTACTTGGGAAGCTTGGGAGGGACTTTGCCAAAGAACTTCCGATATCTTTTCATCATGTAGCGTAAAGTCCTACCCCTTTCTTGGTGCTTTGGCAACGTTTGCCATTCCAGTTGTTGAGTTTCAGTTGGGATGAAGAATTGTGTCTTTTCCTGGGATGCAGGGCAAGGTACCCCACAGGCACTCATCTGGGGTGGAAGAGAAGGTGGTCTGATTGGGACAGAAGGTGCAAGATGGGCTTGGGGCTGGGGCCAGATTGGTGTCGAGGGTTGGGGTTGGATCCCACGGTGGGGCAAGGATGAGACATGGGAAAACTGTGAAGATATTTGATCCTGAATTAGAGCTGGCAAGCAATTAGAGAGCCCATTGAATAAAAGAAAGGGAACCTGTAGTTGAGGAGAGTGAGTAGAGACCAAAGCAGTGGCCAGCAAGGACTCACTGTGCAGAGAGGGGAGACCCCAGAAGAGCTGGCTGCATTTCTGTTGCAAGTGGTCTTCCAAGATTTTGGGGGATGAGAGCTGCTGAGGACTGGCCAGCTGCTCTGGTTCATCTTTCATGTTCCAGAAGGATTGTGGGGTTGTGGTGGTCTGCTCAGCACTGAGTAACTTCCACATAGTCCCCAAAGAGTTCAGGTGATTGTCTGGGCACAATTGTTTCCCAATTGACCCATCCTTTTCTTTCTCCTTCCAAATCTTCAGTTCTACTCTTTTTGTGATTAGTATCTCCAGCAACTTCTGGACATCCGAGGTGACAAATGAGGGTTTATGAGTCTCTATCTGCCAGTTTGTAGGGCCACCCCAGAACGAGGCCTCTGGTGGGTGGCAGGCCAGGTGTTCTTGCTGGCATTTGTGCTGTGACGAGGTAGGGAAGAACAAGGACTTGGTACTTTCCCACCACCAGGAAAAGGATAAAATGGGATAGTCGGCATGTCTGAGGCCTGAGACGGCTAGAATGAGAGATGCCAAAGAGGAATTACCTGGAAGTAAGCTCTTTGTGATTGTGCCCAGTAGGATTTTCTTTAAGTTAATTTGGTCTTCTTGAGGTTCTGCTGGCAGGGTGGAGGCCAGAGGTAGAGGGCAATGGAGAGGAGCAGGGGAAGCTGATGGGGCCAAGGTGTGAGCAGCATTTTCCCCAGACTCCTTCCTTGGCTTGTGGGTTCTAGCAGGTGCTGCTTTGGACACCTCCTCAGGGGCTTCTTGATGTAGGAGGTGATGAAAGGCCCCCTGGTCAGGGAGCCTCCCCAGGTAGCTGCTAGAGACAAGAGGCACGAGCTGCAGCCAGGAGGAGATGTGGCCTCATGGCCCTCCACACCCCCACACCCACTTCACAATGCTCCTGCTGTCCCTCACCCCAGGGCTTTAGCCACACTCTGTCCCCATGGTCCTTGCAGCCCTGGGCTCACACTATAGACTCTGGGAGAATCATCCAGCAGAGAAAGGGGGAAGATTATTTACCTTTGGAGAAGGGAAATCAGGTCCTGAACCTCCTCCAGTTCTTGCAGGCAATCTCTGCAGGCTTGAAACAGAAAACTGGGTCATAGACATGAAGGCAGGGGCCCAAGTCTTTTAGAGGAGGCTGGGTACAGTGTCCCTTTAGGGGAGACCTTTGTGGTTTAGACTCGGGAGTCCCAAACTTCAGTGTCCAGGGCCACGTGCCACACAGTGACATCAAAGCTCATGATGGGGATCACTTTGTCCTATACAGAGTGCATCCCCATTCATGACCTTGTTGGGGGAGACAGGACTGGGTCACCTCACAGAGGACTCTGAGCAAAGTTGGACAACTTGTCCACAGTTGGAGCTAGAGGTTGACAAGGCCCTGCAGCTCCTGCTGGGCAACACCATGTCTGGCCCCTTGGGGCTTCGTTCTGGCCCAGAATCGGGGAAGTGTCAGGGTTCTGCTCTGCTTCCCAGGAGCCCCCACCAGGGCTCTGTTTCCCGAGGAACAGACTTGGGCCCCAGGATCCTGGAGATGGTGGGGCTGGGCCCTCGGAGCAGGAGGGATGGTGTACCTGGGGTGCACAGGGCTCGGGGGCAGAGGCTCACCTTTCAGAATCTTCAGAGTCTGGGCTTTCTTCTGGCTCCTGTTGCTCCTTCTCCGAGGCTCCACTCGATGCTGAGATGAGAGAACATGGGGAGACTGGGACCCCCTCCCTGCCCTCTGGAGCAAGCTGCAGATGCTCAGTGCTCATGAACAATGTGACTTCCTACATTTAACTAAGGGGGGAGGGGGGAGGGGGCATGGGTTTCTTTCTTTTACTCATTTTCAAAGTGGATAAATACGTTTTCAGTTTTTCTTCTTTGAAGAATGTACAGAAGGATTTTCTATGTGAGAAATTCCTCTGTCACTGGTCCTCTGCTCAAGAAACACACACATCCCCAGACCTGCAGCATCTGCGTTTCTTCAGGTAAGACCCTGCTCTCTGAGGTCAGAGCCCCACTCCAGCTGCTTCCTGGGGCCTCCTGAGCCCAGCGCTGCCCTTGATCAGCCCCGACAGAGCAACATTCACCTGAGACACCTGCCCCAGGAAGGTGGCTGGTGAACGGGTTCTCAGGGGCCTGATCTGTGCTAGAGATGGAGCCCTCAGCCATTCTGTCCTCAGCCACTGGTGGTGTGTGTTGAGGATGTTGTCCTGGGGCCCTCCACCACACCTGTGCTCCTGGCCTGAGATCGTCAGGTAGAGATCCTCGTGCCCCTCTAACCTCTTTCTGGTCTGGCCTGTCCCTAGACAGATGGTGTTCTGCTCTATTCATAACAATGCATGTGCTGCTCTTTCATACTTCAGGAGTCTCTCCAGTGATTCAGAAAAGTAGAAATATTAATAGAAAAGAGGATGGGATCATGCTCTACTGGGTCTGGGCCAAGGATTCCTTACCTTCCTGCTGCTTCTGTGTTTCTTATGTGGTGGTAAGGATGGATCATTCCGGAAGTAGGAGAATAACGGGAAGAAGTATATACAGTATACTGTGTATACTCCCAGTATACACAAGAAAATGAAAACGGCTTTAATTGTCCAACAATTGGGGCTGAAGCTCAGCCAACCAGCAGTAATGCTTTTCAGAGAGAGGAGGTAATTCTCCATCTCTCTCCTCTGAAATGCGTTAGTGCCAAGTTGCACTGTTGCTGGCAGGCCACTGAGCCCTGGGCGTGGACTTGGGGACAAGAGGCCCAGGCCACATCACAGAGCTTTGGCTTTGTCACAAAGGGCTCCTGAGGGAGGGGGAGGGGACAGAAGAGAAGTAGGCTGGACCACAGCCCCTCCCCCCACCCCCAGCCCTGCAGCCCCATCCCTCTACCCTCCTGGACCTCCACGTACCTCCCCTGGGCAGACACTATTCTATTCTCTGTTTCTATGAGTCTGAGTTTTGTTTTGTTTTGATTCCATATATAAGTGAAATCATGTGGTATTTGTCTTTCTCTTATATTATGTAACACAATATTTCAAGGTCTGTCCATGATATTACAACTGTCAAGATTTCATCATTTTTTAATGGCTGAATAGTATTCTTATCTGTGTGTGTGTGTGTGTGTGTGTGTGTGTGTGTGTGTGTGTGTGTTGTGTGGCATCTTTATCCATTCACTCCAATATATATGGGTCATTTAAAGCTGATATTTTCTGATTCTTTTCATTTACAATTGCGTGGCCCATCTTTGTCTGTCCTTTCACATTTAGTCTGTGAATGTCCTTGTTTCTGAAGATAGTCTTTGATAAGCAGTGGATAGATGGGCCTTGGTTTTTATCCATTCCACCACTCTATGTCTTTTGATTGAAGAATTTAGTCCATTTACATTTATTATGGACAGGTATATACTATTTCCACTTTGTATTTTTTTTCCTGGCTCTTTTTGTAGCTGATATCTGTTCCTTTTTTTCTTTTTCTTTTTCTCTCTTCCCTCATCACACTAATGAAGATGTGATACCTTTTGTTAGTGCTATGTTTAGATTCCCCTCTCATATTCTTAAGCATATTTACTACAAATTTTCATTCTGTGGTGACCATGTGGGTCACATAAACACCCTCTGCATGTAACAGTCTGTTTTAGGTTGCCAGTAACTTAAATGGAAACATACTTCAAAATGCTGCATTTTTACTTCTTTCTCCACACGTTTGATGGTTTTGATGTCACATTGTCCTTTTTATTTTATGAATATTTTCATTGATTTTTATAGTTTTAGTCAATTTTGCTATTTTTGTCTTGATATTTTATAAATGACTTATCCAACTACCTTTTCTGTACATATACTGTATATTACTTTTGCAATTAAGATTTTACTTTTGTACATTTTCTTGTTAATTGTGCCATTTCTTTATAGTTTAAATAAGTCCCTTAAACATAAGGCCAGTTTAGTGGTAATCAACCCCTTTTGCTGCTTATTTGGAAAACTCGTAATCTCCCTATTAATTCTGAATGATAACTTTGCTGGGTAGAGTACTCTTGGTTGGAAGCTTTTCTTTCTGCACTTTGTAAAGAAAGGCAGGCTGCAGTCAGGAAGCATTTATTTTTCTTTCTAAAAAAGGTTTATTTATTTGAGAGACAGAGAGAGAGGTGAAGCAGAGGGAGAGAGAGAAAGAGAGAGAGAGGGAGGGAGAGACAAACCCAAGCAAGCTGAGCAATGAGGCTGATGTGGGGCTCGACTTACAACTGAGATCATGACCTGAGCCCAAACCAAGAGTCGGACACTTAACTGACTCTGCCACTTAGGCACCCCTCTATCTGCACTTTGAATATGTCATGCTACTCTCATCTGGCCTGCAAAATTTGTGCTGAGTAATCTGCTGATAGCCTAATGGGGTTTCCCTTGTACATAACAAATCACTTTTCTTTTGTTCCTTTTTATATTCTCTATTTTTCACTTTTTTATTTTTTTTATTTTTTTATTTTTCACTTTTGACATTCAAATTATGATGTGTCTTGGTGTAGACGTCATGAGATTTTTATATTTGAAACTTCCTTTCCTTCCTGGACTTGGATGTGTCTTTTCTTCCCCAGGTTTGGAAACTTTTCAGCCATTATTTCTTCAAATAAATTTTCTATACCTTTCTCTCTCCTCTCCCTTTGGGACCCCTTTAATTTGAACATTATTTTGCTTGATGTTGTCACATAAGTTCTTAAGTTATCTTTACCATTTTAAATTCATTTTTCTGTTTGCTGCTCTGTCTGGGTGAATTTCAATGCTTTGTCTTCCACCTTGAAGACCCCATCTTCTGTTTCATCCAGTCCACTGTTGAAGTTCTCTAGTGTACTTTTCAGTTCATGTATTTTTCAGCTCTGTGACTTGTGTTTGGTACTTTCTCATACTTACTGTTTCTGTTGAAGTTCTCACTGTAATGAAGGAGAGTTGGAAGAAAGACAGGCAAAGAGGGACAAGGGTCCCCTGCCCTAAGAGGAAATCACCCTTAAAAGGATTTTACACCACCCTGGAAGGAGCCATCCACCCTTTCTCACATGAAAGGACAAAGACCTGATTGAGTGACAGGCATGTGGAGAGTTAATCAGGTTAAAACAGCCCACACCAAAAAGCCTGTAAAACCCCTTAGGCTTAGAAACCTGGTGGCAGCCCTCTTGGGTCCCTTCTCTCTTTGAGAGCTTTGTACTATTGCTCAATAAACTTTGATTTGCTTCCCATCACTCTTCACCTGGTCTGTCTTTTCATTCTTTGAAGCCACATGATCAAGAACCACAGGCACTAAAGGAAAATAAATCCTGTAACAACTGTATTCATCCATTCTTCTCCCAAGGTGCATGACACCTTTATGACCATCAAATTGAATTCATTACATGTAGATTATTTATCTCCATAACACTGAGTTTTTCTCAAAGTTTTGTATTATTCTCTTGTTTGGAACATATTTCTATTTCCTCATTTTGCTTGACTTTCTGCCTTTCTATATATTTGGCAAAACAACTACTTCTTTCAGTGTTGATGGAGTTACCATATGTAGGATATGAACTTTCCTTCTCACCCTTGTCCTAATTCTTGGTTGTCTCCTAACCTTTGTGATTGTCTAAATAATCTGAATTATTTTTGATGTGTTCCTATTGTTGAGGATGTGCCAAGACTTGTCAATGTTCCAAAAAGAGAAATCTAATTTAACACTTAGTTTTTAGGCTAATGGGCAGGCAGATTCTTAGACAGAAGCTTTTAAAGTGTGCAAACATATATAGTCCTGTGGGGTGACAATTGTAAACCCAGCTGGACTCCAGACTGAGAGATCTGAAGGCATCTCTGGGTGACAGTTTCAAAACTAAAGGCTCCAGATAAGTGTATAAGCTCCTTTCTGGGATGTTTGGTAGAGCTGTAGTGAGGTCAAGGGGGTACACAAGGATGGTGTCTCTTTGTTTACATTCCCTGGGAGCACATCTGCAGCCTCTAGAGGTCTGGAAAACCTGAAACTTGTCCATCAGGTTGAAGCTCTGGGGTAAGTAAATAGGCCTTTTTCACAGGAAGACTGTGAAGTGGGTGTTCCAGCATCCTGTCTCTGCAGTGCCCTGGGGGTGTTGGCCTGCCAAGAAGTATCTTTGCAATTGTTATATTCCCTTGGAGCACAGGAATGCCAGCCTCCTTGGCCACCAGGCAAACAAGGGACATCCCCTGTGTGGTTTGCACATGCCTACTGGCTTTAATAGGGCCCCTGGTATATAGAGGAGGAAAGGCATGCTTTCTGAAAGAACAGGAAATGCCTTGAGTGCATGCACTCATGGATTTCAGCAATGCTGCAAGAGAATGCCTTGTCTCAGGCCTTAGGCTGAGGGCAGAAAAATGCCCTGACTGTTCACACTACCCTACCCTAGCCAGTAAAGAATTGCTGCTACCACCTGCTCTCTCTTGCCTCAGCAAGGCAGTGGACAGTGCTGTGACTGCTTACCCCCACCCTTCCCAGTGAGGCAGCGGGAAGGTGCTGTGTCTCAGTGTGCCTACCCATGCTATCAGGGTAGGTAGAGAGCGCACAAATGGTGTCTGCCAGAGCCTTTGTCTCCAGAGAGGCCCCTGACTCTCCTCTTCCCCTCAGACTGATACCTCAGATGAGCAAATAAATTTCCTTGACATACAGTCTAGACACTTTAAAAATTGGTGCTTTTGAATGTGATCCCAGGGTGAGTGAGATTGAACATGAGCTCCTTAGAAAGAAGGAGAATCTGTTTCCTATGGTACTTTGGATTCCTGGAATGTCATCCCCCTTGATTTTCTAAGCCAGGCATCTTTAGGAGCTCAGCTCTCTGGTGAAGATCCCAAGAGTTGAAGTAAGGCATCAACCCCTCACTCTTCCAGAAGAAGCACTTGACTGGTGAGACCCCTCCCTATTGTGTGTTGAGGCACTAGGGGTTGAGTTTTATGTGAAGACCACATCTCTGTCTCTCCTACTTGTTTTGATGAGATTCTTTTATCTCTATTTGTGGGGAAACAGTTCATACAAATTTCAGATCTTTTTCACAGGGAAATGATCTATACATAGCTATAGCTTTGGTGTGTCTATGGGAGGAGATGAGCTCAGGATCTACCTTTGCTGCCATCTTGAATCTCTTTCCAGAATATATTTTTATAGTGTTTTTTTTTCAGGCAAGATAGTACATTTCCAAACTATTTCCT